CCTACAAGTGCCTCTTTAATGTAAATGTAAGCAAGATGACTGAATGATCAAAAGCAATGTCAAACTGGCCAAAACACTCAATTTCAGTGGGGGTTGAATAATTTTGGACACAACTGTAAGTATTTGGTGAATATGAAACATTCATCTCAATACTTTGTTATAGATCCTTTGTTGGCAATGACAGAGGTCAGACGTTTCCTGGAAGTCCTCACAAGGTTGGCACACACTGTTGCTGGTATGTTGGCCCATCCTCCATGCAGATCTCCTCCTCCATGCAGATCTCCTCTAGAGCAGTGATGTTTGGGGCTGTCGCTGGGCAACACGGACTTTCAACTCCCTCCAAAGGTTTTCTATGGGGTTGAGATCTGGAGACTGACTAGGCCACTCCAGGACCTTGAAATGCTTCTTACGAAGCCACTCCTTCGTTGCCCGGGGCGGTATGTTTGGGATCATTGTCATGTTGGAAGACCCAGCCACGTTTCATCTTCAATGCCCTTGCTGATGGAAGGAGGTTTGCACTCAAAATCTCACCATACATGGCCCCATTCATTCTGTCCTGTACATGGATCAGTCGTCCTGGTCCCTTTGCGGAGAAACAGCCCCAAAGCATGATGTTGCCACCCCCATGCTTCACAGTAGGTATGGTGTTCTTTGGATGCAACTCAGCATTCTCTCTGCTCCAAACACGACGAGTTGTGTTTCTACCAAACAGTTCTATTTTGGTTTCATCTGACCATATGACATTCTCCCAATCCTCTTCTGGATCATCCAAATGCTCTCTAGCAAACTTCAGATGGGCCCCGGACATGTACTGGCTTAAGCAGGGGGACACGTCTGGCACTGCAGGATCTGAGTCCCTGGTGGCGTAGTGTGTTACTGATGGTAGCCTTTGTTACGTTGGTCCCAGCTCTCTGCAGGTCATTCACTAGGTCCCCCCGTGTGGTCCTGGGATTTTTTTGCTCACCGTTCTTGTGATCATTTTGACCCCACGGGGTGAGATCTTGCGTGGAGCCCCAGATCGAGGGAGATGATCAGTGGTCTTGTATGTCTTCCATTTTCTAATTATTGCTCCCACAGTTGATTTGTTCACACCAAGGCTCTTGCCTATTGCAGATTCAGTCTTCCCAGCCTGGTGCAGGTCTACAATATTGTTTCTGGTGTCTTTGGTCTTCACCATAGTGGAGTTTGGAGTGTGACTGTTTTTGAGGTTGTGGACAGGTGTCTTTTATACTGATAACAAGTTCAAACAGGTGCCATTGATACAGGTAATGAGTGCAGGACAGAGGAGCCTCTTAAAGAAGAAGGTCCAGGTCTGTGAGAGCCAGAAATCTTGCTTGTTTGTAGGTGACCAAATACTTATTTTCCACCATAATTTGCAAATAAATACTTTCCAGATCAGCCAATGTGATTGTCTGGATTTGTTTTCTCATTTTGTCTCTCATAGTTGAGGTCTCCCTATGATGCCAATTACAGGCCTCTCTCATCTTTGTAAGTGGGAGAACTTGTACAATTGGTGGTGACTAAATACTTTTTTGCCCCCCTGTATATATATATATATACTGCATGTTGAAATGTGCTTTTTATATATTACAAAATATCTGAAAAATATTAAAATATATATATATATATATATATATATATTTTTAAATGTATTCTTCAGATTTTTTTTACATATAAAAAAGATGTTTTAACATATATTATTACATATATTTGTAAATGCATTCCAAAAATGTAGATTTGTATTTTTTAAGACACACAGTATATTTGAAATGTATTTTTACAAATATTTTTCATATATTTTGTCATAATAATGCATTTCAACATACAGTCTCTCTCTCTCTCTCTCTCTCTCTCTCTCTTTTCTCTCTATTTGTTAATTTATTGAAATATATTTTGAAATATATTGAATATGGCCAAAATTGTAGTATTTCATATCTATGTCAATATATTTGGGAAGAATATTTTTAAAATATATTTTTCTTCCAAGTGGGTATCACTACTTTTGTCAGCCTTATAACAGAAGGAAGGTGCCCCATCCAGGGGCGGACTGAGAACTCTTGGGGCCCCCGGGCAATAAGGGATCATGGGGCCCCTGTGTCCTTGCCCGCACTCAAAGCACACCCAAAAAGCCTATAAAAGGTACCAGGGGCAGTTCATGGGGCCCCCTACTGATCCTGGGCCCTTGGGCAGTGCCCGAGTGCTCAAATGGTCAGTCCGCCCCTGCCCCCATCCCTACAGTAAACCATTATGCCCAGGGCAGCCATCCCTCCCGCCCACCCCTTGTTTTGTCCCTGCTCTCTGGGATCCGGACCTCTGTCCCTTTTATAATCCCACAGGACTGGAGGTTCGGACCCAAAAAGCCTGCAAATTCAGACCAGGAATGGCAACAAAGGCGTTAACCCCCTTCACTCCTTGCTCGGGCAGCCATACTAGCTCACTTACAGTAGTCAACCAAGCCTACATGCTTACACTGTGCTTTTATACTGTATCATCATTTTCATCCCAAGCCCCATGATCCCCTTATTGCCCGGGGGCCCCATGAGTTGTCAGTCCGCCCCTATTGGAAAACACATATTTTCGATGTGTAAAGAGCAGCTACTGTGTTGAAAGCAGCAGTATTGGAGGTAAAAACGACACTTCATGAATTATATTTGCTGGGTAAATAATTTTATGGTTGGGGGTCACCACAACATGAGGAACTGTATTAAAGGGTCGCGGCATTAGGAAGTTGAGAACCGCTGCTATAAAGTGTTAAAAACATGTACAATAAATATTTGTATCTTACGTGTCTTTGTGTAGATCCCCTGAAGAAGTCACTCGGCTGTGACGCAACGCATTGGGGGGAGTCTGGGTGATGTCACCGCGCACACGTAAACCAGGAAGCGGCCGGAGGGATATGTAAGTTATTGGCTGCGGATGACGCATGACAATTGGTTTTACTAAATACGTTGTTTGAAATGGTGAGCACTTTGTAGAGTTCGTTGTGTTTTCTGCCGACCTTTTCATGGACCATTCAGTAAAGGTTCGAGCACATCTTGTCTTTTGAGCCGGGACAATGGAGGAGTACGGATTGAACATATAGGCTCTGAGCAGGGGCGGACTAACCATTGCAGCACTCGGGCACTGCCCGAGGGCCCAGGGTCACTAGGGAGCCCCATGAGATGCCCCTGGTACCTTTCATAGGCTGTTTTGGGTGTGGTTTGAGTGTGGGTGAAGACACGGGGGTCCCATGATCCCCTATTGCCCGGGGGCCCCATGAGTTGCCAGTCCGCTGGCTCTGGGCGATGCGTTGAGAGGCTAAGCCAACTGCCAGTCAATATTCTAGACTGGCCCTGTGACACCAGCCAACAACGGACCGTAGCCCACTCTCTGCTGATTCTGAGACACAAGAGTGCAGAAATACAGTAAGTGCACTCCAATGAAGAGAAGTCCAGCCAGCGAAGTTTCAGCCATACTTTTAAAGGTGCAAGGCCAAGGAAATCCTGAAAACATGAGTTGTTGGGGGTACTTGGGGAAGGACTGAGGCTGGGAGTCACTGCTATGGAGCACCAGATCTTCTTGCTGCTGAAGACCTCTTTGTTGCTGGTTTATGGGAACACCATTATCTGCTTGTCTGTAGGCCACAAGGTATTCCCAACCCTGCCCATTGACACAGAGTCCTCTAAAGGCTTGCTGATGACTTCATCTTCCACCATCCTCCATAGAGCACCAGATCAGTGGTGTATTTAGGTTTTATGCTGCCCTAGGCAACACATAAATCGTTCCACCCACGGAGAGACCCTGAAACCGACCAACACCCTCCTCCCCTACGAAGAGAGCCTGACCTTGACCAACAACACCCCACCCCCGCCCGAGAGAGCCTTCCACTACCACTGGCCCCCATACACTGGCAAACCCACCCACCCCGGCAAGAGAGAAGACACTCACCTTCACACCTCTGGACATCCCCGGAACAAGAGTCGGGCTCTGCATACACCATCAAGCAGCCCGCAGTCTCTCTCAGATCCCATCTGGTCCCCATGCTACGTGTGTCCCTTCTTTCGGGGATGGAAAATGCCGCCCTAGGCAAATGCCTTGTTTGCCTCGTGGTAAGTACGCCCCTGCGCCAGATGCTTCTGATTCTTTGACCACACCATGAATGAGTTGGCTTTCCTTAGAATTCTGCTTCTTCCCAACTGCTATGCTAAAAGTAAATTTAAAACCAAAACTTTTTTTGCTTTTAGGCGTACTTTTACCACTTCCCGTCCGGCCCATGTTTATAAATGGCCTCCCTGCCCCCTGCTTGTGCACACTCCCTGGGAGCGCGCAGCACCACGATCCGGTGCCCGCTGTTTCCTCCGGAACACTCATCGTCGTATGGGACCTCTGTGCGAGGTCCCGATCATGTGATCACTGATTGGCCAATATATACTATAAACTATTTTGGGTTATTTTTTTTTTTTACTAAAAAGATAACGGAATAAATTTTGGCCGAGATTTATGATGAAATATTATTTATTTGCAAAATTTTATAAGAAAAACACTTTTTTTCAAATTTTTGGACTTTTTCATTTATATAGCAAAAAAAAATAAAAATCCCAGCGGTGAATAAATACCACCCAAATAAAGTTTTATCTGTCTCAAAAAAATGCTAAAAAATTCATATGGGTACAGTGTTGCATGACCGCGCAATTGTCATTCAAAGTGCGACAGCGCTGAAAGCTGAAAATTGGCCTGGGGGGAAGGGGGGGGAAGTGTCCGGACTGGAAGGGGGGGAAAGTGTCCGGACTTGAAGGGGGTGAAAGTGTCCGGACTGGAAGGGGGAGAAAGTGTCCGGACTGGAAGGGGGGGAAAGTGTCCGGACTGGAAGGGGGTGAAAGTGTCCGGACTGGAAGAGGGGAAGTGTCCGGACTGGAAGGGGGGAAAGTGTCCGGACTGGAAGGGGGGAAAGTGTCCGGACTGGAAGGGGGGAAAGTGTCCGGACTGGAAGGGGGGAAAGTGTCCGGATTGGAAGGGGGGGAAAGTGTCCAGACTTGAAGGGGGTGAAAGTGTCCGGACTGGAAGGGGGAGAAAGTGTCCGGACTAGAAGGGGGGGAAAGTGTCCGGACTGGAAGGGGGTGAAAGTGTCCGGACTGGAAGAGGGGGAAAGTGTCCGGACTGGAAGGAGGGGGAAGTGTCCGGACTGGAAGGGGGTGAAAGTGTCCGGACTGGAAGGGTGGGAAAGTGTCCGGACTGGAAGGGGGGAAAGTGTCCGGACTGGAAGGGGGGAAAGTGTCCGGACTGGAAGGGGGGAAAGTGTCCGGACTGGAAGGGGGGAAAGTGTCCGGACTGGAAGGGGGGAAAGTGTCCGGACTGGAAGGGGGGAAAGTGTCCGGACTGGAAGGGGGTGAAAGTGTCCGGACTAGAAGGGGGGGAAAGTGTCCGGACTGGAAGGGGGTGAAAGTGTCCGGACTGGAAGGGGGGGAAAGTGTCCGGACTGGAAGGAGGGGGAAGTGTCCGGACTGGAAGGGGGGGGAAGTGTCCAGACTGGAAGGGGGTGACAGTGTCCAGACTTGAATGAGGTGAAAGTGTCCGGACTGAAAGGGGGGGAAAGTGTCCGGACTGGAAGGGGGTGAAAGTGTCCGGACTGGAAGGGGGTGAAAGTGTCCAGACTTGAATGGGGTGAAAGTGTCCGGACTGAAAGGGGGGGAAAGTGTCCGGACTGGAAGGGGGTGAAAGTGTCCGGACTAAAAGGGGGTAAAAGTGTCCGGACTGGAAGGGGGAAAAAGTTTCCAGACTGGAAGGGGGGGAAAGTGTCCGGACTGGAAGGGGGGGAAAGTGTCCGGACTGGAAGGAGGGGGAAGTGTCCGGACTGGAAGGGGGGGAAAGTGTCCAGACTGGAAGGGGGGGAAAGTGTCCAGACTGGAAGGGGGGGAAAGTGTCCAGACTTGAATGGGGTGAAAGTGTCCGGACTGAAAGGGGGGGAAAGTGTCCGGACTGGAAGGGGGTGAAAGTGTCCGGACTGAAAGGGGGTAAAAGTGTCCGGACTGGAAGGGGGAAAAAGTTTCCAGACTGGAAGGGGGAAAAAGTTTCCAGACTGGAAGGGGGTGAAAGTGTCCGGACTGGAAGGGGGTGAAAGTGTCCGGACTGGAAGGGGGTTAAAGTGTCCGGACTGGAAGAGGGAAAGTGTCCTGACTGGAAGGGGGGGGAAGTATCTGGACTGGAAGGTGGTGAAAGTGTCCCGACTGGAAGGGGGTGAAAGTGTCCCGACTGGAAGGTGATGAAAGTGTCCCGACTGGAAGGGGGTGAAAGTGTCCCGACTGGAAGGTGGTGAAAGTGTCCCGACTGGAAGGTGGTGAAAGTGTCCCGACTGGAAGGTGGTGAAAGTGTCCCGACTGGAAGGGGGTGAAAGTGTCCCGACTGGAAAGGGGTGAAAGTGCCCAGACCTAATGTGGTTAATGTCATTTCTACCAATTCTGAAGCGTCCTACAAACCCCCCCAGACTCTGGGTCCTCTCTGATGGCATGCAGGAGGCAGGGCAGAAGTGATTGGTGACTCAATCTGAAAACCAGGTGAATCTCTAAACTGCAATATATTTTGATTCTCATACTGGAATTATTTGCATGCAGACTTGTCCTATAGACAGTCAAACAAGTCAAGTCAAGACTCCTGACTGCCGGGAAGTCGTGGAAATGTTCATTGTAATTTGAAATTTCTATCATTCTGGTTTCCTCATTAAGCAACCCTAACCTCAGGAGTGGCCTGAACCTGGACACACCCAGATAGCTGATTCTAATAGAAAGTGAGTGCAGAGCATGGGACTGGGACATTGGAGGACCTGGTGACGGAGAGAGGACAACATGTCGGCAGCAGGTCCTCTGCGCAGCACCTTTTTTTTTTTTGTGGTCTCCTTTGTGCTGTGTTTGATGTCATCTATAGGTTCTCAGTTTACAGAGAAGAGACAGATTGGACGATATGCACCACCTAGACAGCTGGATAAACATTCACCTACCCAGGGGAGAGAGGTAGGTGGCTCATTTAAGATGCTTCTGTCCTGTCTAATGAGTGTTGGGAACATCTCCCGGGTGAAACTGACTAATCACTTCTTGCTTTAGTAGATTTTTTTTTTCTTACTCAAACATATAACCATAGGGTGGTACTATGGCAAATTATAATAGCAGCTTGTACCATGTCCCGAGTCACCACGTCCTGAGTGTAGCACTACCCCCTTAGGAGTTGGAAAGATTTTTTTGTGTCCCCCAATAGTCCTACAAAACCAGGCAACACACATCTTCAAATAGACTTGCTGTCAGGGCTCCCAGGTGTGACCAGAGGTGTGTGACTGACGCAGGGAAACGCAGACCTCAGATATGTTATAAACAATATAATTTATTAACACTAACAATACAAACATAAACGCAGTGCAATACTAAAACATAATACAGTGCAACCAAACCAAACCAACCACCCACAGATAACAGTACATACAAGCAAGCGTCGTCAGGCAGGCCGGGTCAATATCAATAGGGCAGGTAGGTACCGGGGGAGCAAGCGGAGATTTTCGGGGTCACAGGCCAGGTTCAGCAGGTAGCAAGCAGCGTAGTACAGAGGGTCAGGCAGAGGGATGGTCAGGGTCACAAGCCAGGGATCAGAACAGGTAGCAAGCAGCGTGGTACAGAGGGTCAGACAGAGGGATGGTCAGGAGCGAGCCGGGATCAGAGCAGGAGAAGTCAGCAGCGGTTCAGAAACAGGATGCAGGACAGAAACAGGATACAGGGCCCAGGACAAACACAACACCAAGGCAGAGTCTGCAAGTCTGGCCATCCCTTAAATACACCAGTATCATCAGTTCCAGGTGTTAGCTGGCTGAAAGGTTGAGTCTCTGATTGCTGGGAGCACCCGCTGGCCAGCCCTGGTACTGCAGATCAAAAGGCAGGTGAGTCCCACCATTGCTGGCCAGTCCATTCCTGACACTTGCATCCAGAATCAGAGATCAGTCCTTGAGCTTTGTTTTTTTTGTTACTTTTATTAGGGGGCTTGAAATGGTGAGATAGGGTTAGGGGTGTACAGGATGCCCAAGGGAGCTGATGAACCGAGGACAACTTCCTGGAACTATTTACAAGCCTTCTCTGTTGGAGAGCTAGCCAACATCTCCTAATGTACCAACCAGGGGCGGACTGACCATTTGGAAACTCGGGCACTGCTCGAGGGCCCGGGGTCAGTAGGGGGCCCCATGAGATGCCCCTGGTACCTTTTTCATAGGCTTTTTTGAGTTTGGGCAAGGACACAGGGGCCCCATGATCCCCTATTGCCCGGGGGCCCCATGCGTTGTCAGTCCACCCCTGGTACCAACCCAGACCCTAGGTGAACTTCTCATCCTTCACCCAGCAATCTGGAGGTAACCCTAAGCAGGAGATCTGATCCCATGTCACTTTAAGAAATGGACAGTCCCAGGTAGGTGGTGAAGTAGGGGAGGTGCGGGGGTACTCACTCAGATCCTATCCTGTGCCGCTGATGGGTCGGTGGCTGCTACCAGGTCTTTTAGCTAGGCCACTCCTTCCCTGCTGCTCAGGTGGTCCTCACTCTGGGGGCCAGTGAAGCTCTAAAGCTTTCCTCCTCCCATCTCCCGGCCTACAGGTAGACCTCCTACATCCTCCTCTCACTCCATCTTCCACTCGGCCTCTCTTCCAACTCCCCCATCAACTCCCGCCTGCCACTGAAAAGGCTCCGTAAATCTCAAAGGTTGTCCCAGCCCCTTTCCAAGGCTCTTGTTGGGGATTGGCCAGGATCCTTCAAGAGTTCAGGCCAGCCACTCCTCAGATCCGCCCCGTGCCTCTAGACCTTTCTCCAAAGATCTAGAGCAGGGGGAAATTCCAGAGGGCTGGTCTGCAGAGCCTCTCAGCTCCTGACCCAAATTTAACCTTCTGACTATTGCACCTGGGCTGCTACCCAGTCCTTGACTGACAATCAAGTCTCTAGATTCCCCTAGCTGACTAGGGGGGGCGCTTCACATGTAAAGCGTGGAATAAAGTTGAAAATAATGGACTTTATAGGCACATACACTCCGAAACAAATAATATATTAAATAAAACATATTTATCATTGTCCATAAAGACATTGATCACATAGATCACATAAAAAGAAATACAGCATCCCAGGGGTGGACTGACCATTTGGAAATTCGGGCACTGCCCGAGGGCCCGGGGTCAGTAGGGGGCCCCATGAGATGCCCCTGGTACCTTTTTCATAGGCTTTTTTGAGTTTGGGCAAGGACACAGGGGCCCCATGATCCCCTATTGTCAGTCCGCCCCTGAAGCACTCTATATACGGCAGAGAAGTAGACACAAGGGCCTCAGGAGGCAGAGCTGGCCCTTACATTGGCAGCTTATTGACATATCATTCTAAGAAGGGATTAGATCATTGGGAGAACCCAAGAATAAGAGTCCAGATGCCAATGTCTCCAATGTCATCCTATGTACCACCAAACCAGACTGTCAGTGGCCTTGCTTATTGTCCTACTATGTGTGGTTTAAGTTCTCCTTTTGGTTGGGACATCTATGGCCACGAAATAGTCAAATAGAGCCACCATATTCTCCTGATGTGCCCCCCATGTTCAGATATCAGATCCAGCACATCCTTGTTCCTCCTGCTGATATTCAAATTGCAAATTAGTATTTTACATTATGCACCAATTTAGCTCCCGAGGAAGCAATATTTGCCACGAAATATGTAGAGCAAGAAGTTTTTTTACATATTATGTGTTTTGGAGTGTATGTGCCTATAAAGTCCATGGTTTTCAACTTTATTCCATACATTTTCTGGACTACATCATACGGTCAAATGTCTGTTGACATCCCTTTAAATAATGCAGTTCAGGTGCTTCTGGTTACACCATACAAAGACATGGTAGACAATGGTGTTCTTGTGGTAACAGGTTGGTGAAGACCCCTTTTCTGTTCCAGTATGATTGTCTCCTTGTGTACAAATCCAGCTCCATAAAGACATAGTTTGACCTTTTTGGTGTGAAGGAACTTGATTGTCCTGTGTGGAGCCCTGACTCCAACCCTACTGAACATTTTTGGAAAGAAACGCAACCCTGATTGCAAGGCAACTCCATAAAGACATAGTTTGACCTCTTTGGTGTGGAGGAACTTGAGTGTCCTGTACAGAGCCCTGACCCCAACCCTACTGAACATTTTTGGAAAGAAATGCAACCCCGATTGCAAGGCAGCTCCATAAAGACATGGTTTGGCCAGTTTATTGGGGAGGAACCCAAGCGTCCTGCACAGAGCCCTGACCCTACCCCTATTGAACACCTTTGGGATAAAGTGGAACTCTGATTTCAAGGCAGCTCCATAAAGACATGGTTTGACCAGTTTAGTGTGGAGGAACCCAAGCGTCCTCTGTGCGAGGTCCTGATCATGCGATCACTGATTGGCCAATCAGTGATCACATGAATAGTAGTAAGCAAGACGTCACTT